AGTCACCATGTTGAATATTCAGTTCTTGATAGTGGTGAGTGATTGTTTCAGTAGGAGAATTTTTACCAACCACACTCGTGGTCCGGGGTTCGATTCCCGGCCAATGCACTTCTAAACTTCGCTTATCTAATTATAAGCCTAGTAAAGAGGAAACGTTGAGTGTGAGGTTATTAACCTCACCGAGTAAAACCAACACCACTACAGCTACTGAAAATTCAAAGCTCAAACCTGAAGCCCTATGTTCCATTCGGAACACAAAAAAACGAAAAAATGTTACAATGGGAATTATTACTTTACTGGAAAGATAAGTAGTCGTAGTAAGACGTCACACAACTTGATGGTTTTAAACTTACGTGACTCTTGTATAAACATGATAATTTGAAGAAAACTGTGAAATGACCTTATATCTATTTACGTGTATAAAGTTAGGTAGAAATATGAAGACCGGAAAATTTACGGTCAAGTATGCCCATTGCTTATTGATAAGAAAATTAACAATATTAAAACAATCAATTATAAAGAATTTCTTTTTCAAAAATTAAGGGAATTACAAGGCATATGGCTCGCTTATCAAAAAAAAACCATTAATAATTATTCATATATATATATATATATATATTTGTTGACTCTGAAATTAACGACCAAAAACCAGATGGTTTTGTGTACTGAATAAAGGTCATTCAAAAATTGTGAAAATCGAGAGAAAATACACAATTTACTTTTATTTATATATATAAATAACCTACTAAACTTTTAGTTATTTACATAAATATTTTATGAAAAAAGCTATTTTAGCCTGTTAAGTGGTATTTGTTCAACGATGAGTCGAGTAACTTCATCGTGATGTAAAGACATGCGTGCCTTAGTAGTTTGAGCACTTAACAGTATCCTTGAAAAGCATGTGAACTGCGGGTTGGATATATTAGTAGAAACGTAATTGGTGAAGTCGTGTTCTCTGATCTGGATAACATCATTGCAAAGCTTTCATTGCCTTTCTATATAGTAATTTCGATGCTAACTTCAATCTGAAGTTAACTTTTAAAATTTTCAGTGTGTAATGACTATCCCTCCTGAGGATATCAAGCTTGACTGCTTGTCTCCGGAGGTTTTCTTACTGCTTGTTCACGTGTTCATTTGCTCAAATTATTACAAGTGTATTTGTATAGACGATGAACAGATTTAATTCCACTTTCTGTGTATAAGCAGTTATGATAATTTGGATATTCAGTGCTAAAGTGCAAGGTCGAAGATGCTTAGGTTTAGGCACAATCAAATTGTGATTGATAATATTCAGTCACTTTATTACTGGCGTAAAATAAAACCTTCGTAAGTTTCATTGCGTTGGTGGCACAGCGGTAGAGTGCTCGCCAACTACGCAGGTGGTCTGGGGTTCGATCCCCGGCTACAGACGCACTCCTTCACCTCGCTAAGCCAGAAATAAGACTGGTAAAGAGAGAAGGTTGGGCATGAGACTAGCAACCCCATCCTGTAAAAATAATCACCACTGCTACAGAAACTTCAAGCCTGTAGCTTGAAGCCCTATGTTCCACTGGAAATGTAAAGGAATAAAAAAAGAGTTTCAACACCATGGTATTCTAAAATACAGCTATGAATGAACTTGTTCTGTCCTCTGTCTACTCGTGCAGTATGATGTTAAGAAATTCAATAATTTTACACTCGATTTAATCGGCTCCATATGAACAGTCAAACTGGTAGATGCACATGGGGGAGGCGAAAGTCATTACGCCAACCCCGACTGGGTCAATTTTACTTTCAAGAAATAAGGATACACCATCCAATTTCGTCTCCCCTATGTACAACTACAACTTTGACTGCTCCTGTGGAGCTATTCGCAAATGCATGTTCGTTGTCCGATTTACGAGCGTCAACTGCTATGATTAAGCAACGGATAGACTAAGTTCATTCATGGGTCAATTTTAGCCCACCATGTAGAACCTTCTTAAGCCAAAAGTAAATGTGATGAGCAACAGTTTCTTTTAAATTTTAATACACTAAAACTAGTATACCACTTAATACACCCCAACAGATTATTGGTTGTGTAAGGAAAGGATTTTTAAGAAAAATATAAACGCATTTCTCCGAAATGTCATTTTAAAGATTTTAAAAAGTAGGCAGGTATCAACAGAAAATTTATGCAGCATAAAATATTTCTCAGATTATTTGTCCAGTTGTTTTAATTTAAAATAAATATAAATTTTGTCAAGTACATTTTGTCATTTGTCATGGCTAAAATCATGATGGAGAACAGTCAGAAAGTTTATTGGCAAATTTTACTGTGATGCTCATGAAAAAATCACCCTAATTCATAAAGCAAAGATTAAACATTTCGAGATCAGTGTTGTCCATTAAGTTGGATGTGGAGACAAGTACTCACAGGTGACATTGCATGGCGGTCGCGCTATATACTACAAATTGGTAGAAGTTAGAATTCATGAGACATTGGATTCCACTCGAGTTTTCAGCGGTTCAGTTTGTCATCTAACTAATGAAATCCCTACAAATCAACATTTGAAAACTAATCAGTTTAAGTGAATTTGAAACACTGTAGTAAAATACCTTCATGTATCTTCGACAGTATATTTTGAGATCAATTAGTCGCGTAAATAGTTTGCGCTTCCTTCATATTCAGGTGTAAATACCATGGCAATTCATAAGCATACCATGAATACTAACAGCAATGTGTACACCCATGGTTCGATCAATCAGAAGAATCACTGTCACTTATTGTTTCTTAGACATGTTCGTCGCCAATAAAAGTTTTCGATCACTGGCCGAAAATCTATTAGATATCGGTAACTGGCGAAATAATTTATTTGTTTATTTAACTGTTCAAGGTAGCCCATGGACTCCATAAAAGGAAGTATCTAGTGCCAAATGTTAGGATTCAGCTGGCAGGAAATTGAGAACCTAGCTTTCGGCTTTTGCAGGTACTCATCATCAGGTTCTTGTTCACAGGGATCCTATTTATTAAACACTGCTTATTAGTGACCAACATTATTTCATGTCATCTACTCAAGATAAATGTATATTGCTTTGAGTAGTTAAAGTTACTAATGGAATATTACTGAAAATCACTAATGGCAATTACTTCCTAGTGATTACGTAATTTGTTATTTTTCTTGATATGTAAATTCATGTTTTGTTACCAAGTGATATGAACAATTGACCTTTTGCAAAACAGTATATAACTCTGTACAGCTTCGAAGTGAAGTGATAATTTTTTGCTGACCTACGATTTTTAATCCACATCAGTAATAGTTATGGGTAATTCTATATAGTGGGTTATATAATATATATATATAGTTTTTCAAGTATTGGTTATTTGTAGGGATTTTGTTTGATTGGTTGGAGGATTTCATCATGAGCTGACATCAGTCAGAGAACCATTGGAAAACCAGCAGGGAGTACTGGACAGCTGTTTCGTCAGCCTAGTTTGGGACTCTTCACAGTACGCACCCACCGCCAGGGCTCGAACTCAGGACTTTCTGGTTACAAGGCGAGCTAGCTCGTAGACCATTAAGCCACTGGGACCCAATCCAATGGCCGGCCCATAAATTCTAACTCCTGCCAATTCATGACATAGCGCGACCACTTCACAATGTCTTCTTCGATGAGTTACTGCCTCACCTTCAACCTGCTGTACCCTACTGGTCACGGCTTCCCACTCCAGGTAAGTGCCTGAATAGGTCCAGTCGCTAGTGAGCATCAGATTTATATTTAGTTATTTCTATGTTACATATATATATATATATATATATATATATCCATAGTTATTTCCATGTTATTTAAAGATGTAAGCATTCCAAATCACTTCAACAAACCCCAATCATTTTTTCAAAAGTTTGTGTAATTTAATTTTCTTTTCTTTTTTTGGTAATTTTCTAATACCACTAAGCATTCTTCACTAAGGACTGTAAGAGAATAATTGTTTGGAAAATCCCTCCCGAATGATCTAATTACAATAATGATACTTATTTGGATGTTTCAATTAACTTTATGATTATTAACCTCTTTTCTTCTAGGCTGCATAACATTGTTCTGATGTTTATTTATCATCCACTGACTTAATCCTTATTATTTGTCTTCGTTCTTGTGTAATCCTTAATTTAAACGCTTCTATTTGCGATTATGTAATGGTATTGATAATGCATTTTTCTACGGTTGTGGTTTTGTTTGAATAACGTCAAGGTTGGCCGTAGAGATTTGGACTTTAGACGGTCTGAGGGAAGTGTTTGGTGAGTGATTCGGGCTGGGAGAGTTTTGACCTCACCTTGTTGAGAATATCCCTCTTCATTCTGAGTACTTGTCTTTTATTTGAGAAAGTACTGGGTCGGTATAGCTGCCCAACGGTATTGTTGAGTTACACAGAATTTATTGCAAATAACTGCCTTTTTACTGTTGTCTGGAAACTTTAGCACTGCGTGCCACTCAAAGTAGCTTTAATAGGCTATACAGTGGAACGCATTAAGACCACAACGCGTTGGTTTTGGTCTTTAAAACAACTACGAACAACTCCTGACAATCGCGTTTAAACCAACTAAAAAGTCCACCTAGAATTCTGGTAAAACCACTGTAAAGAAAACATCTGAATTGTTGACATAAAATTAACACACTTTCTATGCTACTACAGATACGGCTCACTTTAAAGTACCGCTAACAGTTAAATAGCTTTTGTAAATTATAAATTATATATATCCTATGATGCATAAATTGAAAAACATATAAACCCTATCCTTCGGTGAAATGAAACACAACAAGCAAACGAAATCATTACTCATTTATAATATTTTTATCTTAGTTATTCTAGTTACTATAATTATATGTAACTTTTTTTTCTCTTGGTGTTGAAAGTATTAGAAAAAGATAAGTATTATTCCTGTTTCTGGTAGATTCACATCTCTTTGGCTGAAATGTATGATGCTACTTTTAAAGATTTAAGTAGCTTAAAAATTAATTTCTCAAAACATGGTTTCATTTGCTCAGCTAGAAGGAAGTACTGAAGTGTCGAATTGAGCCTAGAAAGGAAAACAAAATATGTGGTTAGTTTTTTAAGTATATTACAAGAACTAGATTTGAGCTTGAACAGCATGCCAACCATACTTACATCACACACTGAAATCAGATGAAGAAGCATCCTTTTCCACATACCATAAGAAGTTTTCTGTTGTTACATGTCTTATAAGCACTCGGGATCAGTGACTTTTTCCAACTTTCACTTACTTGTATTGGTTGGAATACGGGGTATTTTGTAAGAATTCGGATTAATTACAGTGCATATTTCACCACAAACCAACATCAGTTAGAGATAAGTAAGAGCCAGGAAGAACTGGACAAATGTTTTTTTCTCTTCAGCAGAGCGCAGCTTCAGGTAACGAAACCAAGTTCGTTGACCATTGGGTCATTTAGGGTGGAATTCAATGAACTAAGAATTCAAACTTCCGTCAATTTCTGACATAGCACTACTGTGGACTGGTGCCTGGTCCGATCCCTGATGGGATGGTGGGTGAACATTACTGAAGAGACTCAGACTAAGATGAAACAACTGGCCAATGCTCTTTGGTTTTCAGTTATCTCTAAGTGAATTTGTTTCGTAACGAAGTCACTGATGGAATTTTGTTATTACTTGTGGTTCTGTATTCAGTTTATAAATCATCTCTGGTATTTTTTTAAATAGCGTAATGTATAAAAGAGATAAATGTCCACTTATAACGTGGAAATGTATCCCAATGGAAACTTGGATTTGAGTGTAATGGAGAAAGTAAAAACCTGGCACATAAATTATTCAGTCACTAAGATTTTTACAGACAATTGCAATATATATTTTTATCAGACTGCCTATTATCAAATCTTGTACCCGGCAGTGACATAAACAAATACTCTATTTAAGGAAAGGCAAATAAATTCAGGTAACCTACAGAATTAGTGAATGGATACTAATAAAAATAGTTTAGATGTGAAATTTTGTAGCATCTTGTCTAAGCAGGATTTTTAATCACTCCTAAAGCTTTATGGGACCCAAAACATGTGCATACATCTTTCTTAAAAAATCCTTAGCTGTTATCGAAATTAACGACTTCAATCTATAAGTCACAACACATCAGGTAACAAGACATGCTGGACTGCTGTGAGCAAGTTAAGATAGTCTTTTTCATGTAAAACATAATTCTGTAAAAGAGTTCAAACACACAGTAGCACTCTGGTGTTGAAGAGAATGGAGGAAAAATACCTACTAACCATCTTCAAAAAGAATGGATATCCTCACAGTTTCATCAAAAAGTGTTTAAATTCGAGTCACAATACCAACTAGAAACCATCATCAAAGACTACCTACCATATATAAAAAATATCTCTGAAATAACAGCTAGAATATTAAGACCATTTGAAATAGATATAGCACACAAGCCACCCTGCATAATCACTTCATTCGATATTGTGCAAACGAAAAGATCCAACACATTTACAAAATAAATTGTATGAACTTTATCAGACATTACATCGCTCAAAATGGGCGTCCCCTACGAATCAGAATCCAAGAACACAAATTAGCTGTAAAAAGACATGATATATATTCTTTCATATCAATGCATGTATATAACTATGGACACCAATTTGATCGGGATAATGTCGAAATTTTAAATAGAGGAAACACCAAAAGTGCCAGAGAATTCCTAGAAGCCCGGTGCTCAAGTAAATCAGCGATTAGTAAACATATTAATATAGACTAAATTTACCAGCTAATAAAAGTAAATCACATGGCAAGAAAGTTCAAAATCCAAGTCAATAAAAAATTATCAGTACAGATGTAAATCGACTACCAGTCACGAAGACGGTTGCTAGGAGAGACAATTCTGTCATTCATGGAGAATTCAAATCAGTTCATTTTATGCTAAAACTTTGCCTTGAAGATGTTGTCCAGAAAAACGACGAAAGCTCCTCAATTAAACCAACCAGCTCAGATAACACAACTAATTCCAAACTCTGTAATATATCGTAAACCAAATGATATCCATATAAGGGATGACATAGCTAGCCAATATCAATATACTATAATTAGACAACAAAATAAAATATTCAGATGTTTTCATGAAAAATTTCGTATTCCAAGAAGTGTGAATTACTACAGGGATTTGGATTAGTCATGAGAAATTTTTAAACAAAGATAGTTAAACACTCTGTCAAACATCTTGTTGAATTTACTTTGGTTTTCATATCTTACCTTAAGCTGTTCACCACGATGTTTGTAGAATTTAATCTCTTCATTTCTTGCTTGATCTCGTTTAGTTTTAGCTTCTTGATTCTTTTTTTCCAATGCATCAGCTTTTTGTTTTAATTCTGCAACTTGAAATTCTAATAACTTCTTTGTTTTTTCTAGATGATTAATCTATAAAATTTACAACAGTAGAGAGTGTAAAGATATAGTAGGCTTATGATATTTTAATGAACTATCTTAGCGGAACAATAGAGAAGCTGGCAGCAGAATAACATTACTTTAATCGTTGCAACCTAAAAAGCTAGAGTGAAGAAAAAAACCACTAATTTAACCGAAACAATGAGAAGAAGTGGGAAACAAATGGAACCTTATCAAAAATGTGTGGGATTTTAGAGTGAAATAAGAGGTTAAAATGTCTATCAAATTGCAAATTTTCTCAAAATTTGTTGTTTGGTTTACATTTCTTTCTTCTTCTTTTCTAGTGTATAATTGTAGACATGATGAACTTATTCTACTGCCTGATTAATACAAACAACAGATTAACGATGTATTTTACTATGCTGAAGTAATTCCTGTTCGAACAGACGTTTGATATATGTGTGTAAAGTGAGGCTTAATCCCGTGCGACACAAGACATGATTGAAAACGAGAATTTTCTCATTTCAGTATCTCAAAAAGTCAGTCAAACAGAATTCTTGAAATATCATCCAGTTATTAATACCATATCACTGTATGTTATATCAGACAAACTTATCCAGTATAAAAGAGTTGATTTCTATTGTGAAATTCAGTACCCACATTATTTCACGTATAAACAGATGAGCTCTTCTGTGGAACAAATTGACTGCAGAACACTATATTTTTGTAGTTCGCTTTCTAAGTTGATTACATCTCCAATGCAGAGTGAACGTAACACTTAGAGAAACGTGTCCTTGCATCAAGCTCATCTTTTTACATCAACCAAGGTTATTGCAACAATTAAAAGCTCACAAATTCTCATCTCATGATATCTACAATTGTCTATACCGACTCACATGTACATGGTAAAGCACATTAACCGAGGGAACAGATAAAAAAGATTTTGAAAGCACTTCCGGGTATAAAACTAAATAACTAAGACAAAATAATTTTAGAACTACGTTTTCCTCCAATCATGATGTTTCACAGAATTATTTATGCATAGTAATTTACTACAAGAATTCATATTGCTCATCTACCAAGAATGAGTAATAAATGAAGAAGAGCACTTTGCAGTTACTGCTGCAGTTGTTTTTATAATATCAGCCAGCGCATCATAAAGCGTATCAGCACGTATGAAAGGCACTAGACTTTTCCTAGATCCCAGTACAGTCATCTATAAGATATTTAGTAATCGCTATTATAACTAAACACCAGGTGAACTGTTTAGTGGTTTCTATAAAATTTGATAAACTGCCTCTATTATAAAACAAAATCAGCTTCTTGAAAACAAACAATAAACATGAAGAGAATAATAAACTATATTTGAATATGAACGATAATTTATCTCAAACCTTTTGCTGACGTTCTGCTTTTATATGCTGCCATGCTACCCTTCTTCGTCCTATAAATCCTTCAGTAAACCTCAGAAGTGTTTCATAGCCATAAAATTCTGTGTTATAATGGTCTAACACACGCTTGAATAAAAGTCCTTGTTCTGGACAATCAACAATGAGCTAAAATGTACCAAAAAATATATACAAAAAGCGTTATCAAATCATGGTAACAAAAATTTCCTAAACGGATAGAAGTCTGTCAAGAAAGTTCCTCTTTCCTGTTTGTTCTATTCTGATGCCGATGGCCATTACACAGCCCTGAATTTGTTATAAACACTAAACATACTGTCTGAAAAACAACATGTTTTGTGAGTGTGGACCTAGGTAGCCAGCATTCCACACATCAAGATATGTAATTATTGTATAATCGATGCAAGCCATGACAGCTACCAGCGGTGTTTCCACAAAGGAAATAGTCTCATCATCTAACACTGTTGTCAAGTGCAACCGATTGTTCTGGTTTATATCTAAACAGATTTACAAAGCTTCGTATACCTCACTAGACGCAATTCTTAAAGGTCTAAAAGCATTTCCTAAATATCAAGGTATGTTACAGGAAATAGTGCCCATTGAGTGCTTAGAGTTAAATGGAAAATCGTATCAGATTAGCCAAACCATCACCAGAATACTATTAAAAACCAATATATATTTCATGTAATTGTCAAACTTAATGGACCATTGGTAAAAACACTTCAATAAGGGTAGATGCCAGTCAGAATCCTCATTCACTCAGGCTCGTTTCACAAATATACCTACAAAGCCACTGATTGTGACGCTGAGATTACTTGTGGAGATATGATCGGAGACCCGCTCGCAGATTCAGGAGACAGCTATGCCGGGCAAAGTTTATAGTCATGGCGAAGTTTTTAAAAAGACATTTACAACAACTGACTGATAATAGTCAAAAAAATAAGAGAAAGCAATCTACACTCGCACTTATTTTATGACCCATTTGGAACTGCTGATCATTACAACGAGCGTTCTTTAAATAATCAACAAGCCATGAGTATGAAACATCTAACAGTAAATAAAATTATCGCTTTCAGCTGTCAAACACACTTTAAAAATTTACAAAAGACAAATCTTTGTACGTATCCCAGCTAGCATTTTCTTCGGACGCACTGCAGAACGTGGGACAATGACCTGAAGCCTGCTCCAAACATTCTGCAATGTCCATGAGTAGATACAAAGTTGTATAGTTACTAAACAACAGATAAGATGCTGCGGACAATGCACCCTAAAATTCATCCACATTATCTTAGTATGCAGGAAATGCATTATTTCCGTACTGACCAACATCATTTCTGTATTCACAACCTTATAAACCTGGTGATTGAAACAAACAAATTAAATACCAACTTATGAACAAAATAAACACAAAGTTCCCACTTGTCGCAGTGTCTCATTTGCCAAGTCGCTCAGAACATCGTGTCTTATGGCACAAATAGGCTTTTTGCGGCTACAACGGTTTTCCAGTATTCTCTCCATTTCCACTTCTATATTTTTGACTTCAAGAGAAGTGGTAGATTTCTTCGATACATACTTGACCCACTTCGTACCCATATCCTTATACACTATTGGGGGGAAGATCTTATCCAAGATTTCCCGAATGGTATCGTCCTTTGAAATCTGACAGTAGTTGATTGGGCCACACGTTTTCGCAGTCATAGTCTCTGAATTCGGGCACATTGTAGCCAAAATTTGATCCTGTTAGCAAATCATGGTAGTTTATAGGTTAAATACCTTCTTTTTAACACAATGATTTTGTTCAACACGAATGGGAAGTTCATACTTCAGAATTGTTTGCATTTTTCGGGTAAACGAAACAAAGCGGCTATTCGTCCAATATCCAATATCAAAAGCTTAGAATTTATGTTACTCCCTCTCTGTTAAAATTCTGTGCTTATTTATTTACTTCTTGAAAAAGTCGATTGACGGTACATACGCTTCTAGTTCTGTCATTTGGTTACATGAGTTGATGTGTCGATGGGAGAACAAGCACTCCATAGCAATGGGGCTTATCCTTGGATTTTGAACTCTCCTACTACATTTCCGAAATGTAACAACCTTATTGAAGGGACCACGTACACAATCATCTCTTACTATTCTCAACTTCGTGATTACACCTCATATCCGCCTACGGTATGATGTGTAATAGAGACCAGACAGTTAAATCTATCCTCGTATGATACAAAAGTCTCACTTGGAATCATATAGGCATCCATACTCTGGGTTCCAGTCACCTTTTAGGCAAGGGCTGTCTTCTTTAATTTAGTCTTTCAGTTCATATCCCACCAGAGATGTGTCATAAGTGGTGAACATACAATTGGTGAATGTAGTAAATGCCCAACGTCCTGCCTATTTCGTCATAGATGCTTGGATCTGAAATTAAGTGAGGGTAGAGTTGATATTTAGTCATGATACACCACAATATCCGGGTTAGGATACTCCTGAGTTGGAAAGTGAAGTATTCCCTATATGCCGTATGCGCTAACACTTGTGTTCTCTATGCGTATGATTAAGCACTTCGCAACGTTGATGTGAAGCGTCAAATCTGTGCGTGAACTCAACACACTGTTGAAACCTTCTGACAGTACGGGTTCATCACTGTCCTACTTGAAGTCTGCCTGCATTTTCAGGTCACATGAAATTTCATGAGATTAGGTAATTTTCGGATGTACATAATAAATGGTGAAAGGTTGAGCACAGTACCTTTCGGCACACCGCTTTTCATCGTCGTCAACAACGAGAGTTAGGATATGACCATTCGTATCTGCCAATTACCAGTTCTTCTATCCAAATAAGCAACTTGCCCATGACTTTAGAATTCCAGTTTCATGAGCAACCTGGTATGAGATATTTTGTCTTAATAAAGTCCACAAACTAAATGTCTGCTGGATTCCTATTATCTCTAGACTTAAAGCGGTTTTCTTTTGCCCTTAAGTTCTACAGATAAGATAGATTTTTCCTAAATTCACCATTCGGAATGATAAGTTGCTATTACATGGACTGTTCATTACGGTTTTCTTGATTACTGTTTCCAGTAGCTTAACTAAGGTACTGACGACACTGGTAGGCCTTAAGTTTGAAGGATAAGGCTTGTATCCTTTTTAGTGTATTTTAGTGTATGCATTATTACTTCACACCCTTCACCACTTGCACTCATTTTTAGAGGCTGCGCTTCTGAATTCCCAGGCCTCGAGTCTCTGGACGATTTGGTTCAAGTAATGACGAATCTATCACCTCACACATGGAGGACAGTGCCTTATTTGACTAGGGATAGTCCAGGAAGTGTCTGGTTGAGTCATCTTGGCGTATAATTTCTTAAGATGACTCCAAACGGCTTCTTTATGTGTCCCCGGATTTGTGTTGAGTCTTCTGACGAGGCAGTGTTTTGCATGTCAGGTTACGAAACTTTCGGTTAGAAAGGAACTTTTGCCCAAAGCAATGCAAAAGCAGCAAACCTAAAACTCAGCATAGCCTGATCACTTTTCCGTGAGCCAGAATGTATCTCATGAAGCTTATGTTTTCACTGTGGGGGAAACTAAGTGTATAGTTACGGGAGTGTGTTGGGGACCACCCCAGATAGATATTACGTTTGACCAATAGTAGTTTATATTTCGTATAAATAGCCAAGTTCACATGAAATGCATGCTATTTTTATGGGAATGATCAGACATTGTTTATATTACAATCGTGAAACATCAATAAATTAGCGCTTTTCAATAGTCTAAATGGCTGAATGATAACGGTCAGAACGGGTCCGCATAAATGTTAAATTGTAAGCACTCCACTGAGGTCGCCATCAAGTTTGAGCGCCAACCCAAATTTCGTTTCGTTTCCTCCTGATAATTATGTCAACCAATCAACGCTGTACGTTCAATGCTTGCATTAAATTTGGGCGTGACTCGTTACATATAATCTATCTCTGCTGTAAGCCTCGCACAATTATTGATCTAGTTCCATACTGATAACCACTAACTCTCCCACCAACTAGTTATGGCTTATCAGATAAAAAGCCATGAATTCAGTCACCTGTTAACCTGATGACTGATAGCATATCTCTGCTTGTTACATCAAGCAACACATCTCCCACAAAATGTTGCAGTGAACTAAACAGCTTATCAGTACTTCACAAACGTAGAACTGCCTTGTCACTACCATCTTACGCAGCTGGAATTGAGAGTATAATTATGCTGACAACTAGTAGAAACATCGCTCTTGCAAATCCAACACCTGATTCTGACATAGATCCCTTCACTATACCTAACGCACGTGTCAGCAACTTTCAGATACCAAGTCAAGCTCCAACACCGACTTCCGAAATGGAACGAATAAAGTTGCCTATAGAACAGTTGAAGACGAAAGAATAAAGTGTAATAAAGCTGTGTTAACAGTTTGAAAAAATTTGGGCATTTGGTATATGATATTCATTATAATAAAGGTTCATTGTGTTTAATAATATAATATATATTGATTCCTATCTATGTAGGATAAGTATTACTTTGATTACATAAATTTGATTTATGGTGAAATTACATGGTTGCTTTCCTTTTTGACATTAGTTTGTGGGAACAATCTGCTAACAAGTCATTCCATGGAGCATATTAAGAAATATAGAGATATTGACTTGGCATTAACAAAAACCCAAGTATGTGTTGGATGGATTACAAATATTTGGGAAAAAATAGGGCTTGAAGTAAATTCCCCCATATAACTTTGTTGTGTGGAGCATCATATCTTGTTCTCGATTTATATTCAAATTGGGTATTAATTTAAAATAAGCGCTTTATTTACATAATTTTTCAGCATTTTTATCGTAAGTAACACCAGAAGTGAATTGCACTGAATGCAGATTAATATTGGTCATTGTCAGGCAGATTTGTTTTAATGCGCTGAGGTCAGCCAAAACCACCACTTGTTTCTGCATGGTTGTTCCGTACGAGTAAGCTGATTAGCATGTAGAAAGCTGTTTGTAAGCCATTTAAGATAATATATACTGCTTTTATAGGATGCTGTACAGCGTCTTGTTATGGTGACAATGGATATCCCAAGGATGCTGAGTCATCACTAGCCCAAACCTCGAAGGATGATATATGAGTAAGTGACTTCAATTGTTTCTCAGCTTCACTCTAAATGTAGATCTGTACAACTTCTACTACAAGGCAAATATAAGAAAAGAGGCGAGCAGCAAAGTACCAGAGAGCAAAGAAAAAGTACGTGATCTCTAAAATCACCCTAGTGTTTGTACTTACATGTTCATATTCGTTGTACATTACAAATTATTAAACATACAGATTTATTTCTACTTGGTCTTTTTATGTATCTAAATAAATAAATAAATTTATTCTCATAGTACAGTACATGAGGGACGCCAGTTTACAGGCATCATCAAATTGTTACAGAAATAGAACCATATAATTTAATCACAATTTACAGCCAGTAGCAAGATATGCTTTACATGTTCGATAGAGATTATACATACACTTGATAAATGTTAATCCCAGTAGTATAAAACAGCCTTTTCACTTATATACAATCATTTCTGTGCAAAGTTGGAAAAATCTGCGAGATTGTCAGTGAGTGCAACACAACAGGAAATACAGGAGTATTGTCTTCGCATTAACAAAAAAACCAGGTCTTTGGTGGATGGATTATAAGTGCCTGGGAAAAAAATAAAGCTTGAAGTAAATATTCATACATAACTTTGTTGTGTGCAGAGTCCTCGAATTATAGTTCATTGATGTGTTATTTTGAAATCAGTGATGTGTTTATCTCATTTGATCTGCAATGTCATTGTTGGGAGTAAGTACATAAGCTTCGGACGCATTAATTAATGGATTTCTACTGCTTACGGGTATTTTCTTAGCGTGAGGAAGGTTTATGAATTTCAGCTGTTCCGACAGGAGTTGAGAATATTAACTGCTCAGCAACATTATGGATATAAGTTCATCACATTATCTAAGGAAAGGTGGGTTGCAGTTGGTGAGGGATATATGGTGCCCAACGAGCGTTCATCTGTCCTTGTGATGTTGTGGTGAGTTATACCTTTTTCATGTTGTCGGTTTATGTCCATTTTATTCCACTTATTGTGTTGGGTAGTAGTTTTACAAACGAGATTTCTTGTCTGTTTGAGGATACGTATGTTAACCGTTAATGTTTTATCTAGAATTATAAATATAGGCAAAAAACAACAGGTGTAGTATTTAAGCTTATACATTAAATGGGCCTATAATTTCGGAGGCTCTCAGATAGGAACTAGAACTACTATCGTTTGCAAACTCTTGTAGTTTGTCATTAAGCACCTTTTTGAAGGAGGCCAATGTACTTGCTTGACGCATTTCCATTGGCAGTTTATTCCATATCTGTGCATACCTAATCAAGTAAAACTTTTGCCTGGTGGCTGTTTTACATTGTTCGATAGCTACTGTACCCTTAGTGTGTCTTAGTTTGTAGCCATTGTCATCTGAAAGTCGAGTGCCATTAGTAGAGGTAAAAACTAAGTGGTTTAGAAGCTTATAGTAAAGTGTCAAGTTTAGTCTCAGGCGTCTTAGCCATAGTGTTTCTAGTCCTAGGGTATCACATCTAGTGGAGTAGTTCGTACCATTTCCGGTTCCGAGTAATTTTAACGTGAAGTACCTCTGCACTCCCTCGACTTTCAATTTGTCCTCTATGCGTATGCTACTATACACGAATGAACAGTAATCAAATAAAGGACGCACACAAACCTTGTACAACAGAATTCTAGACTCATTTCTGTAGAAGTTCCTGAGTAGAAAGCCGATAAGTCTGCGTGACTTTGACACTTG